CATTTATCAAACAAAATCCTCAAATTTATTATACATTCTATCTCTCCCATTTTAACAATTTTATATAATAGATCAATTGAGCAATGCTTATTTCCAAATTCTCTTAAAATTTCAAAAATTATTCCTATTCATAAGTCGGGTTCCAAATCAGATATGTCAAATTACAGGCCTATTAGCATTATACCTTGCCTCTCTAAATTATATGAAAAAATTATTAAACAAAAAATGGATATATACATTAAGGAAAATAATATTTTGAGCGATTGTCAATTTGGGTTTAGAAGTGGCTTATCTACAGAAGATGCCCTCTTAAGTTTGTAAATGATATTAATTCATATCTAAATAATTCATCGTTGGCTCTCGCTGTCTTTGTCGATTTCTCAAAAGCCTTTGACTCAGTCGATCATCATCTATTGATTGATAAGGTCATAGGCTATGGTTTCAATGGTAATTTATCAGTTTTGTTGAAATCATATTTGGATTCCAGATATCAGTATGTCGATATTGCTGGAACTAATTCAAAAACAACTCTGGTTACAAGAGGTGTGCCGCAAGGTAGTATCCTTGGACCATTGTTGTTCTCGTTGTTTATTAATGATGTTGTGCATATTCACAAGTGTCCTTCGGTTATATTTGCTGACGATTGCACTTTTTATACTAGTGAGACACATGTTGACTCACTAAGGGACTCAGCAACAAATCTTCTTAATGCATTATATAAATGGTCGTTATTAAATAGACTAAACATTAACCTTAAAAAAACTAAGTATATGATTTTTTCAAAAAATAAAAATATTCAAACTGACAATATGCAATTGGAAATAAATGGTAATTCACTGGAATTTGTAGATCAATTCAAGTTATTAGGAGTTGTTATTGACTCTCGATTAAATTTCAAACACCATGTTAAAGCAGTCATTAGCAAAATTAATATAACTTTAGGTTTGGTTCATCGCATTAGCACATACTTAAACAATAACTCGAGGAAAGTCTTCTATTTCTCTTTTGTTCAAAGTCATTTGTTTTACTGCAATCTTATTTGGGGAAATGCAAATAAAACTTGTATACAGGAACTATTCGTTTGCCAAAAAAAATGTATTAAAGCACTTTTTTATTCTAAAAGACCAAATGACATCCGTGATAATTTTCTGATAAATCGGCTTCTTTCTGTGTATGAAATAAATTGCTATAAGGCCTGCTGTTTCTTATTTAAAGTGATAAAGGGAATATCAACTAAGGGTGATATCGCATCGATTGTCTTAAATTCAATCCAGGTTCCAAGATCTACTAGAGTCATTAGTGAAGTCTCATTCAGGACATTAGTAGTTACTAACAAGCGAAGTTCCA